TGAATTTGCTCAGAAAATCTTTGATTCTGAATATGTTCTGATTATGGAAACTTCAGACTTTATTTTGCTAAAAGGTATTCTTATGTATGTTCTTTAATATGTATTGCCCAGGACTATCCACAATTCTTAAAAAAAAGAAGATAGTGGGGCTGGCACCGTGGCTTACTTGGTTAATCCTCAGCCTGTGGCGCCAGCATCCCATTTTGACTCTGGGTTCTAGTCCTGGTTGCTCCTCTTCCAGTCCAGCTCTCTGCTGTGGCCCAGGAGGGCAGTGGAGGATAGCCCAATTGCTTGGGTGCCTGCACCCACATGGGAGACCAGGAGGAAGCACCTGGCTCCTGGCTTCAGATCGGCGCGGCGCGCTGGCCGTTGCAGCCATTAGGGGGTTCACCAATGGAAGGAAGACCTTTCTCTCTGTCTCTCTCTCAGTCTCTAACTCTGCCTGTCAAATAAAAAAAAAAAAAGAAAGAAAAGAAAAAGAAAAAGGAGATAGTCTGAAAAGAGCTGCTCAAAGTTTTGCTCTCCTAAGGGCAGGAGTAGGTAAGTAGTGTGCGAAAAAGATGTAGTAAAGTGTCAGTCTCATTGTTTACTTGAAAAGAAATGGCAGCTTAAGGAAGCCTCTGCAATTACCTTTTAATAACTTGATAAAACTGCTGTTACTTCTTGGTTCATATTTAGGGAATCTAAACCTTACTGGATCTGTGTGGTCCATTGATTCCATTAGTTGAGTAAGCTTTTCAGACAAAATAACTGTACATGAATATAATGTTTTGAAGTCCTAGCGGCTTTTTGAGCAAAGGAGTAGCTGTTCTCTAACCAAGTCACTGAAGAGATGATTCTGGATGTTTCTGTAGCTATGGAAACCACTTTAGGTCAATAAAAGCTAGTTTTACTGTAAAACAAACCACCCAACTCTAGTCAACAACATTTATTATTTTTCATGTTTCTGTGGACTCAGTAGCAATTGGATGGTCAAGGATGGCTTCATCCCTTACTTGTCTGGGTCCTCATCTGGGGGTCTTGAGTGATAAGGGTGGTTGGGACCTCTCTTTATGTGGCATCATCCAGGTTTGTTCACAAGAACTTCCAGCAGTGAAAGAGGGCAAGTCTCAATGCGCAAGTCTTTTTTCAAGTTCCTGCTTGTGTCATATTTTCTAATATCCTATTGGTCAAAGTAGGACACATAGCAAAGCCAGATTCAAGGGTGAAAATACAGACTCTACTTCCTACATACAGGGCTTCAGGAAATTTGTGGCCATTTTGAAACTGTTTCCAGCCAGTTACTGTAGAAATTATTCTATTTGTTAAGCAGGAGTTTATAAGAGTGACCATAGTTGTCTAGGGTTTCAGATAATATCATACTTGCAACTTTTTTTTTTATAAAAAGTACCAATTTAACAGCCTCAATTTAAGAAGGGAAATTAGAGAATACAGTACATTTTCACACTGTTTTATATTTTACAAAATTCATTTATGTGTATCACCTTTTAAGAATCCTTTATGGCTCTTTGCAAGGTAGGTATCAGGATCATCATCCTCATTATGTGTGTAAATTGATGCACATACATGTTAAGACTCTTAAACACCATCACTTAGCAAGTCAGAGAAGTGGGACTCACATTGAGTCTTCTGATGGTACACCTTATATCTTGGCTTCCATGCTGTACCCAGGAGCTTCTGGTGTACCCCACTGGTAATGTATTACAGCAAGTGACAAACAAAAGCTGTCATTAGAGGTGTCTGTAACTTCTCTTACCATACCATTTGTTCATCATGTTCATCCAGTGAAGAGTATAAAGATCTAGAATTTTTTTTAGAAGAGATTTTTGTTTTGACAGGCAGAGTAGACAGTAAGAGAGAGAGAGAGAGAAAGGTCTTCCTTTTTTCCGTTGGTTCACCCCTCAATGGCCGCTGCTGCTGGCACGCTGATCCAAAGCCAGGAGCCAGGAGCTTCTCCTGGTCTCCCATGCAGGTGCAGGGCCCAAGCACTTGGGCCATCCTCCACTGTACTCCCAGGCCACAGCAGAGAGCTGGCCTGGAAGAGGAGCAACCAGGACAGAATCCGGCGCCCAACCAGGACTAGAATTCGGGGTGCCGGCACGGCAGGTGGAGGATTAGCCTAGTGAGCCGCGCGCCGGCCCTAGAATTTTTTAAGGAAGAATGTCTGTACAAATGATACCCTCATTAAGAACTCTTTCTGCTATCTTTCATTTCTGGCATTTGTTAATACCTGTATTTGGTTGTTTCTACATTATGCTTCTCAAATTTCACAAAAACAAATGAATTTGCAAATTTTTCTAGACCCTAGATATTAACAATTCCTCTATCCATTATTACTGTAAGAAATAGGTTTATTCAGGGACTGGCACTATGAAGTATCAGGTTAAGACACTGCTTGTGACACCAACATTCCATATGAGCTCTGGTTCAAGTCCTGGTTGTTCCATCTTCTATTCAGCTTCCTGCTAATGCACCTGTGAAGAAAATGGGAGGTAACCTGAGTACTTAAGTCCTTGCTACCAATGTGGAAGACCTAGATGATGTTTCTGGTTCCTAGCTTTGTACTGGCCCAGACCTGGCTTTTGTAGCCATTTGGGAGAGTGATCAGCATATGGAAAATCTCTCTCTCTCTCTCTCTGAATTTCAAATAAATAAATCATTAAAAAGCAAACAAACAACAAGGTAGGTGTCTCCAGGGGGGCCTTTGTAGTGTATAAGGTTAAGTTTCAGCTTGAGATGCCCAAATGCCCTATAGGAAGGCTCAAGATTAAGTCTCACTTCTGTTTCTGATCCAGTTTCTGCTAATGTGCACCTTGAGAGACAGTAGATAATAGTTCAAGTACTTGGGTCCCTGCCACCCAGCTGAGAGACCAAGATGGAATTCCTGGCTTTGGCTGACTCCAGCCCTGACTATTGTGGGCGTTTGAGTAGTGAACCAGCAGATGGAAAAACTCTCTTTCATTCTGCCTTTCAAATAAACAAAAATAAATAAAAACTTTACAATGACTAAGCTTATCCTGTATCTTTCAAATAATTCAGCATTTACATGCATGCATATGTATACACATATATATTACACCTTTTGTGTCTTTTTTTTTAGAAAACTTTTATTTAATAAATATAAATAAATTTCAAAAGTACAACTTTTGGATTATAGCAGTCCCCCCCCCCATAACCACCCTCCCACCCATAAACCATCCCATCTCCTACTCCCTCTCCCATCCCATTCTTCATTAAGATTCATTTTTAATTATCTTTATATACAGAAGATCAACTTAGTATATACTAAGCAAAGATTTCAACAGTTTGTACCCACACAGGCACACAAAGTATAAAGTACTGTTTGAAGACTAGTTTTACCATTAATTCTTGTATTACAACACATTTAGGAGAGACCCTACATGGGGAGTAAGTGCACAGTGACTCCTGTTGTTGATTTAACAACCGTTGTGTCTTCTGTATTACACTGCTCAGATTTGATTCTCCAGCAGAGCATATAAACTCTCCGCATGCCTGGTCTTTGACTTAACATATAGCACCAGAGAGAAGTTGGCTCCCAAAGTCGTCTTTAAGAAGAGATCAATATTCCTTAAGCCTGTATTTTTCACACAGTAATGGGAGAACAGCAGTCCTTTCAAGCCTGGTTTTCCCTGAGATGAGCTCATACATGAACCAGTGAGACGTGCAGTTCTCTGCACAGGCATGATGTGCAGCCACCATCTAACGTACTCCTTGGTGTCACAGCTCACCTTGGCAGAGTGACCCAAAGAAGCGCTCACTGGCTAATTCCCCTGAGCCTTTTGAAGCGTTAGTGGACCTTTAACTGCCTGCTTAAAATTTTCAGTTAACTTACCATACACACTCGGTGGGAGATTCAAACTAGATAATCTTGGTTTAAAAAAAACTGTTTATAGACTATTAAAAGATATCCAAACATAAACTATTAATAGAAACATGTCCAAGAAGGTACCAATAGCAGAGGCCAATGTAATTATTTTAAATTATTAATTACTATGTACATAAAAATTCAAGGTTTTTTGGAATTCCTCTCTGTACATTTCCTGGCTCTTTAGGCTTAGCAATGCTCTAGAAATATTTTAAGTCCAGGAACTCACTCTAGTAATGAAATTTTTATTGTTGTCCCTTGTGCTCATTACAAGGCTTCTCATCCCATCAGGGAAAAGAGAGGGTCTACAGAATGACCTTAGTGTTCTGTTCACGAGGAATTAACATTCCTGCTTGGCCATTCCCTGGTTGCTCCCCTCACTGCACAGCCCTGAGCGTTGTCCTCATCCTCGGTCTGGATTCTTTTAGTGAGTCCTAATTACTTTGGCTTTCAGGCTAGGGTAACCTTTATGGCCAATTTATGGGCTTTTTTCAAAGAAGTTTCCTAGTGTTTCACAGGGGTTTTATTTACTTTCATAAGGACTCATCAATGTTTCTGTTATAAAGAACCGTATTGGTTTGCTTTGCTACTTTTCTCTGCCTCCCATACAGGAAATTACATTTCAAGCAGAAGCATCACACAGAGGAAAGATGTCTCCTTATTCAGTGGAAGCAATTTCTGTCTTATGTGTTATTTTGACTGTCATAACATTCTCAGGCACAAACTTTTCTATCTCGATTGATATTTATAATCTCTCTTTAGGTATCTGTAATGTCAGTGCCTGTGGGAGTGGGAAGCTCAGTACATGGCAGGCAGGAGAGCTGATGTAGTCTGTTCACTCACAAACGGACCAGTGTCATCTAAAAGTCCCACTGTCAAAGGAAGTCCAGAGACTGATTCTGTCTATGAACCAGGAGGGGCAATTCTACCCAGTCTTGAGCTAGTCCTGGTTGGAGGTGGCATGGCTCACTGGGCTAAGGGTTAAAGATTCCAGTTCACTGTCTACTTGCTGCTATTTTTTTCTGTAACTGGATAATTCCCTGATGCTTGATACCTTTATTTAATCATCTGTAATGAGGACTGATGGATTTCTATTTGGGCTTGTTACCAACAGGACATGTGGCATGTCTGTGCAGCTGCCTTCAAGACATCCTTCTGCTTTCTGAATGGCTGAAACCAAGGTACATGATTTCTACCGGAAAGAAGAGAGTTCCAGCAGCGGTTTTGAGTTATAGGCACTGGAAAGGCAGAATCTGTGCCTATCACTGTGTTGGCTCTCAGCTACTGGCCACCTCCAGAACCACACAGTATTGCACACCTCTATTAGATCATGGTTCAAGATCTGGGTAGTCTTGAAGATTATCGACAAAACAGAAGGCTGAGTGTCTACTTGGGTTGAGAATGGGTCATGGGGCATTTACACAAGTTTGCCTAATTTTTTTCATTAAGTTAGTAGATGGTTTTTCATAAACCACCTTGTACTTTCTGTCCACTTTCATTGTTCATTTATAATTCATTTATTGTGATTTATCCAATCAACACATATTCTTAGAGGTTTAATAAGTCTAAAACATCATATAACACACTCTAGTTTTTAGGGTTCTTGGTCAAATGCTGCCTTTGCCATGATTTTTTTTCCCTATTACTGTCCATTATGGGGTATCTTATTTTGTTTTGTTTTGGTTTTTATGATTTATTCATCTACTTGAAAGGCAGAGTTACAGAGAGAAAGGCAGAGAGAGAAATTTTCTATCCACTGGCCTACTTCTCAAACGACTGCAATAGCCAAGGGTGGGCCAGGCCAAAACCAGGAGCCAGAAGCTTCATCTGGGTCTCCCACATGGGTGCAGAGGCCCAAGCACTTTGACCATCCTCTGCTGCTCTTCTGGGCTCATCAGCAACAAGCTGAATTGGAAGCAGAGCAGCTGGGACTTGAACAGATGCCCATACAAGATGCTGGCATGGCAGGCAGCAGCCTCACCTGCTGTACCAAAGCACTGGGCCCCACAGGTGACCTTTTTTTCCCTTTGCTTCCTATTTCTTAATTTTCATAGTACTTACATGCTTATACATATTAATGTTATTTGTATGCATGTTTTATTTTTCCCATACTGTAAGTCTCATTTATCTTTGAATCCTCTTACTTCCTAGCGTATCTCCTTGTACTTTACAGATACTCATGGGGATGTAATAGAAGACACATACTGATAACAATAAAATAATACATAATACTATATCGGCATATAAGTAGTACACATCAGTGTGTATTCTGGGAATGAAGGGTAGGTGATTTGATGTCAGTGTAGTCATGGCTGCAGATGTGAGATGAAGACATTCCAGGAGAAGAAGAGAATTAGCCAGTGGCACACATGGGAAAGAAGCACACATATTCAGGGGACCAGGAGTGAAGTTGCTGGGCAGCCAGTAGCCGCTAGAGGATTGCAAATGTAAAGCTAGGACGATTAGACTCTTCTGAAGGTAAAGATTACCTGCCTCCAACTTTGGTGTAATTAGTGTCAAGATCAAAGAGATATTATAGAACAATTTCTCTGGTGATAGTATGTAAGTTAGTGCATCAGCCTGGAGGCAGGGTGTGTTAGAACAATTAGTTACTGGTGCAAGAGTCTTTAAGCATCTTGGTACAGATATAGGAAGGTGCTTCAAAACACACATGGAACAAAAAAGTTAAAAGATAAGTTTACTCTGGTACAAAATATTATTGAAACCCATGCGTAGTTTTCTTATAGTATGTTTTTTCTTTTCTTTCTTTCTTTTTTTTTTTTTATTTGACAGGTAGATTTAGAGAGAGAGAGAGAGAGAGAGAAAGGTCTTCCTTCCATTGGTTCACCCCCTAAATGGTCGCCATGGCCGGTGCTGCACTGATCCGAAGCCAGGAGCCAGGTGCTTCTTCCTGGTCTCCTACACGGGTGCAGGGGCCCAAGCACTTGGGCCATCCTCCACTGCCCTCCCGGGCCACAGCAGAGAGCTGGACTGGAAGAGGAGCAACCGGGACTAGAACCTGGCACCCATATGGGATGCCAGTGCCACAGGCGGAGGATTAACCAAGTGAGGCATGGCACTGGCCCCTCTTTTTTTTTTTTTTTTTAAAGATTTATTTATTTTATTTGAACTCTGACAGAGTTACACAGAGAGAGAAGGAGAGGCAGAGAGAGAGGTCTTCCATCAGTTGGTTCACTCCCCATTTGGCCACAATGGCCGGAGCTGTGTCAATCTGAAGCCAGGAGCCAGGAGTCTCTTCTGGGTCTCCCACATGGGTGTGGGGGCCCAAGGACTTGGGCCATTTTCTCCTGCTTTCTCAGGCCATAGCAGAGAGCTAGATCAGAAGTGGAGCAGCCAGGACTTGAACCAGTGCATGTATGGGATACAGGCACTGCAGGCAGCTGCTTTACCAGATATGCCCTTATAGTATGTTTTTTCCATGAACTCTTTAAAGACCCCCTGATAAAGCCATGAGGCAGAGACTAGAGTAGAAGAGTGAAATCCTCAGTAAGAACAGTGTGATGGAGTTTGAGAATGAGGAAAAGGGTGGAATAGGGACTAATTTCAGGAGCTGGTGGTGATGCCACACTTAAGACACCACTTGGAATGCCCACATCCCAAGTCAGGGTGCCTGGGTTTGAGATGTGGCTCTGTTTCTAACTCCAGCTTCTTGCTAATGTGTACTTTGGGGGGCAGCAGTGATGGCTCAAGCGACTGTCTCTGCCACCCATGTGGAAAACCTGATAGAGTTCTTGGCTCCCAGATGCAGCCCTAGCCCTTGTAGGTATCTGAGAATTGAACCAGTGAATGGGAATTCTCTCTGTCTTATCTGTCTCTCTGTGGCTCTCAAAATAAACAAGCAAATGAACAAACAACTAATTTGAAGGTCTTTTGTTTGGTGACTTTGTAAATAGTTGATGCCTTTAATGAAAGTCAGAAAATCCATTTTGGATGGAAAAGATTGCATTCAGCTTTGGGCATTTCTAGTTTGAGAATGCAGTGGAATGCATGATTCCAGAGGAGTCAGATACAAATAAATTTGTTAGAAATTCAGAAACAGAGGTTAGGAAAGAGGGTAGGGGTTATAAAGTATGAATAAAACTTTATAAAACAGAGTTACCCATTACTTGCCTTCATATAATTCCTTTTATAAGCTGATGGCAGGACCAAGTCCTATTTGTTTTTGCTGTTTGCCTTTGTGTGTAAAGCACTTGGAACATAATAGGTATTTCATGAATCCTTTCTCTTGGAAGCTACCTAGAACCGTGAACAACTTTATGTTACCTCTGGTGATGAGGTACAAAGAAAGCATTTAAGTGCAAAAATTCAGGCAAGTAAAAGTTTTAGGTAACATTCTGTCTTTTCTCTCTCTTAGAAAATACTTTCCTAGCGAAGTTATCAAATTGAAACTTGGTTTTCTTTTCACCTGGTGAACAACTTTATGCCTATTACAGACAGGATGCCTCAGTTAATTTGTATTTTGTAGTTGCTGGTTTCTCAGGTTTTTTAAAATTCTAAGAAATCTAATCTTCTTGTAGTCAAGCCGAAAGGAACCAGATAAAGTTACTAATCCTTGACATATTGAGAATGTACGTTATACCAAACATCTCTATTCTTTCTCCATATTTCTCTGTAAATTAACCCAGCACTGAGAAATGATTGCCGAGCCTTATGAAAAAGTACTTTCTGGTTCAATTTCTGTAGCTGCTTAATCTGCATCTCCCCTCACAGCCTGGGAGAGTTCAAGCAATGCATCTTTCCAAGTGTGGAGGGAAAAAGTCAGCTCCCCCTGGCTTCAGCAGTTCTCAGAGGAGCTGGACGGATGCCTGGTTGCTCCTGGGAATTGTGCAGTCGCCAGTGCAGCTGCACTCCTCCTTACATGGTGGCCAAGAAAAGTCCCTTTCTGTGCACTGGTTTTTTAGCCCATAGACATAGAGGCACCAGGATGTTGTAGGGGACTTGGAGGCACTCTGCCCTATAAATATGACCTCCTAAAGTTGCCCCTTCCTCTTTCTCTTTGCTCTAGCACAGCTTATGTGGCAAAGCAGCAGCAGACAGCACAGTTAATTCTTTTCTCTCTTGAAAGGAGAGACACCCTGCCAAGGTGCAGAGCAAGAGAGGAAGATGGAATGATAGAAAATGGACTCCATTCCTACCCCTTCAGTGGCTAGAAGAGATGTGGTAGAGGGAGGGCCCTGGATTGAGAGACCATAGAGAGGCCTTGTATTTTCTAGCCAGGCGATGTGTTTCAAGTTACTCTGCCACTCTGGGTCTACATTTCCTCCTTGCAAAATCAGGAATTCTAATGAGATGGTCTCTGAAACCTCTTTCCACTCCTAATATTGTTGTTTTAATTCCGTGGAGTGTAAAAGAACACACTCCAAGTTACTCTTGTCATATTCCTGTTGGAGTACCAGGCACATCCAGCTCAGAAAAACACTTCTCCATACCTTTCAAAGAACTTTGAATGGGTGGGTGGGGGGTGGGCATTTAACCTAGTGGTTAAGAAACCTGCATCCCATATGAGAGTAACTGGGTTCATTTCTGGGTTCCAACTCCTGATTCCTGCTTCCTGCCAACACAGATTCTGGGAGGCACAAGTGATGGCTTAAGTAGTTGGGTCCCTGGAATGAGTTCCTAGCTCCTAGCTTCAACCCAACCCAGTCTTGTCCTTTGTAGACATCTGGGAAGTGAACCACTTGGTGCGTGGGAACTTTGTCTCTCTTTCAGTCTGCCTCTCAAATAAATAAGTTTTTAAAATAGAGTACTTGGGGGGAGAATATAGACAAAAGTAAATCTCAGAGGATAAAATTCATCCTGACATTTCTACTAAATTCAGGAAACTACAACCTTGAACTATGGTTTGTTCGTTGGCTAGAACTTGAGTTTTGAGTAGGGGCTCAATGTCTATGGGGTAAAAATCCATGTATAGAAAGGGTACCCTCTAGGCCGAGCTCCTGATTCCTGCTGGCCTTGAACAAGCAAGGGCTTCCAGTCGGAGGGACTGTGGCTTGATAAAATGGTTCCATGTAGCTTTCTGCTCTTGGTTAATCGGTGGTACGCTGTCGATTATTACTGTGGGCAAGATGTGGAGTCCACGTAGATACTTGGCAAGGGTTTGTATCTATATGGTCGCTATTGTGCGAATTGTGCTGAAATCCTATAATATCTTCAGGCAGTT